AAAATGCAAAATCACTCTATCTATCTATCTATCTATCTATCTATCATCTATCTATCTATCTATATATATATATATATATATATATATATATATATATATATATATATATATATATTTATTTATTTAAGAGGGCTTAATCATATTCCTCTCCTATGATTCATTTATTTATAATAATAAATTACAAATACAATGAAAAGTCAATAAATTAATCTAGAAATCTAGGTGGAGAGATAGATACAACTTATAGGTTAATAATTTCAATATTCCCTTTTAAGCTGAAGCATACAGATTCTATGTACCAAATTTGGGAACAAATGAACTTAATCCTAGGACCCTTTAATGATTTTATTAATACACATGCAAGTTGATTATTAGATTCAATAAACATTGTACAAAATTTTTCTTAATCACCAACTTTTCCCGAACAAAATGACAATCAATTTTATTGTTTCATTTTTTCATGGAATATTAGATAAGAGGCAATGTGAAGTGCAACTTGATTATCACAGTACATTTTCATGATTTGAATCTCAAAGAATTTGAGTTCTTAAAGGAATTGTTTCACTCATACTAGTTTGCAAGTGAGATATGTCACTACCCTATGTTTAGCTTTGGTAGTTAATCGAACCAATACATTCTGTTTCTTATTTTTCCAATAAATAATATTTTCTTAAAGGAAAATACAATATCTGGTAGTAGAGCGTTTGTCAGAAGGGAATTCAACTCAATCTACATCACAATACCCAAATATTTGAGTGTTGTCTTTATTTTCCTAGAGTCTTTTTTAGATACCTCAAGATACAGATGATGGCATTCCAGTGGTCTATGTAAAGAGCTTGCATGAATTGGCTAACAACACCAATCGCGAAAGACAAATCAGATCTAGAAATTGTAAGATAGATAAGTTTATCAACTAGTATTTTGTATCTTTCTGGATCAAAGAACGATTCACCTTGTTCCGTTATTAATTTTTTATTTGGATCCATAGGATTGTCTGCTGGTTTACAGTCAATCATACTTGTCTCTCTTAGAATATCTAGTACATACTTTCTTTGAGATATCACAATGCATTCTCTTGATCGAGCTACTTCAATTTCCAAGAAGTATTTGAGACTCCCAAGGTCTTTTGGTTTGAAAATGCTTGCACAAATGTTCCTTTAGTTGAGATATTCTAGCATCATCACTCCCTGTAATAACTATATCATCAACATATACTATTAAGTAAACACATTTATTAGGAGAAGTATGATAATAAAATACTGAATGATATACTTCACTTCATTTCAACCCAAAAGCTTGCACAATGTGGCTAAATTTCCCAAATCAAGCTTGAGAAATTTGTTTAAGAACATATAGAGAGCGACGTAGCTTACAAACCAAGCCTGACTCCTCCCAACAACAAATCCAAGAGGTTACTCCATATAGATCTCCTCTTCAAGATCGCCATGAAGAAAGTAATTTTTTATATCCAAATGATGAAGTGACCAATGATGAATAATTTCCATGACAAAGAATAAATGAATAGTAGTCATTTTGACCACTAGAGAAAAAATATCGTTATAATCATGACCATAAATTTGAGTGTATCATTTAGTAACTAAGCGTGCCTTGAAACGATCGACTTCACCATTTGAGCCAACTTTGGTAGTATAAACCTAATGACATTCTACTGTTTTCTTTTCAGGTGGAAGGGGTACCAAGTCCCATGTGTGATTTTGATTAAGAGCCTGCAATTCAACCATCATGGCTTGACACCATCTAGGGTGATCAAGTGTTTCATTCACATTTTTGGGAATAGTAATGAAAGACACCAATGATAAAAAAGAACAATAAGAAAACAACTTGTGATAGCTAAGAAAATTATAAGAATTACAAGTAGAACGAGTACCTTTTCTGATGACAATGGATAAGTTTGAATCATCAGGTTGAGGAGCCACGATATAAGGAGATGATGGAGAAGGCCTAGAAGAATGGATGACAAGGCCGGGATCATATGAGGCACGATGAACAATTGACTTAACTAATGAAACAAGTAGAATCTTTTGGATGAAAGTAACATCTTGAATAGACGAAGGGAAGAAATGAGTTTGTTCAAAGAAAGTGACACTAGCAGACATGTAATATTTCTTTATTTCAGAAGAGTAATACCAATATCCTTTTTGAAGTCGAGAGTATCCTAAGAAGAAACATTTGATAGCTTGGGCAGGAAGTTTATCTATTCCTGGGGATAAATCATAAACAAAACATATATAACCGAACACACGAGGAGAGATATGAAATAAAGGTTCCCTGGGAAAGAGAAATCAATAAGGAATAATATTATTGAGAGAAGAAGATATCATTCTATTAACAAGTCGTTAGAACAACATCACCCTAATGATGAACTGGTAAATTAACATCAAGTAATAGAGTACAAACAGTCTCAACCAAGTGTTTTTTTTTTCTTTTACCAATATCATTTTCCTAAGGAATATGAGGACAGATGGATTTGTATAGAATGTCATGCGAATTTAGAACCATAGAGAAATGAGAGGAGAAATATTCTTTGACATTGTCACTTCTTAAGATTTTATATAATGATACCAACTTAAGAATAAAAAAGAAGAAAAAATATACATTAGAGGGCTTAATCACATTCCTCATATAATTTTTTTTATATAATGATAAAATACAAATAAAATGAGTAGATGAAAAGTCTAGGGACTAAAGTTGATTTAGAAACTTAAGTACAAAGAAAGATACAACTCATAGGTTAATAATTCCAACAAATGCAAAGTTTATATTTACTTTCTATAATAAAAATAGAAAATATAAAAGTAATATTATTTTATAAAATTATTTCCACTTAAATAAATTATTATTTATTTGTATAGTTATAGTTTAATATATATAATTATATTTTAATAAAATATTATAAATATTAAAGTAATTAATAAAATCAAATAAATAATTTAGCTTATTTTTTATTTATTTATAATATAATATTATTTTATTAATTTAAATTTAAGTATTAAAAAATAAATTTTATAATAAAAATATTTTATAATTACATATCAAAGTGTATATTATTGAAAAAATAGATATTAATTTAAAGATATTGTTTTAAAAATTCTATCTTATTAATAAAAAATTAATTAACAATTATATAGATAATTTTAAAATTAAATAAATATTTAATTTAATTATTTATTATTATATATATATATATATATTTTTTTTTCACGTCATTTTTCTATTAAACGAAAAATAATACTTTCCTTTTTATTTAATATCTTTTTCTTTTCTTACATATTTTTTCATTTTACTAAATAGACCCTTAACTATTAATCTTCATTAAAATTTTAATTAATTATTTTTCATAAAACGATGCGAAAGATATACAGAATAACCTTATGAAATGGATGTTTTCTTTAGTGTATCTATTAAAAAAAAAGAAAAAGGAAAAGAAAATGTACACCTTGTGTGAAAATTGATGGGAATCATAACTGTATCATGCTTCTTAGTTACCAGTAACATCATCAACTAATCTTTGATTTGGCTCCAATATCATAAATCCTTTTCAACACCATTATATATTTAGAAACCTATAGAAGCCTCCAATAGATATGCTCAGCCATTGTTTCTAAGTAATCAAATTTGTTTCCACATCACTTGTAGGGTAGAGAGAGATATAAGTACTCATAGTCAAACAAATGGCTGTGTTTGTACTTTCATTAACTAATTTAGTTAAACCATGCCATCTCTCAACATTGGACTCACCCACTGCTTAATTGTTGAGGCATGCTAAATCACTTGTTGCTACATTCATATAAATCACTTCTTTTCCTTCATAAAAGAATCAATTAATTAAACTAGAACCTTCACTCTCTTTAACTAATTTTCTGATAAAACATAATAAAAAAACAAAATATATTGCGATGTCACTTCATCGATCTTATCAAAGTTTTCTTATAAATTCTCCAATTTTTACCCATACACCAAGTCTTTTTAATGGTTTAAAATATATTACATTGGAATCTTATTATGAATATGTATCCTATAAATATTCAAACAACGAAAAATTCATGTATATTGTCAAAAACACATATAACAAATAAGTATGATTTACTTCACAAGAGTAGTTAAATAATTAAAAATTTACATATAATTCTTTTATTGTTATTACAATATTAATATTTTACTCCCAACTTGATTTATTTTTATATCTACAGTTACATAATTAGGAATCGAGACTTAAACAATTTGATTAAGAAACACAAATCATTGTTACTTGTATCAAGTAACATTAATTTATGTTTAAGGTTTTGAGATGTAGATTAAGAATTCTTTTAAGCAAATATATTGATAAATTATTATTTGATATATATTAATAGTAAAATATCTTTATTTAATAATGTGAAAATAAGTATTTAAAATAATCTCCATTTAATGGTTAATGTGTCCTTGGAACTACCATTAGCCAAATCAATAATTGGATAGTGAAGGGAAACACTAAAATGTAATTGGTTTTAAATGAACATTATTTTATAATTTTTTTCCTATTAATTTTATCAAAAGTTCCAAATTCACAAACACGACCCTACCTTCCAACTTCAACTAAGAATATATAAGGTAGAAAAACAGAGAAACGATTTAGTATTGAGATTTTCATCCTGAAAGGGAATAGATATGAATAAGGAACCAAAATTCTAACCCATTTGGAAAGAATATTTATTTATAAAAGAATTAGTTGAATCCTCCTTAAAATGAAGTTGTATTCTTGGGAGAAAAAAATTAACCAAACAAAGCATATATGCTTGATTTGTTTGTATTCTACAAAATCTTACACTGCTTTCTCATTCATAATTACAATTCTATAATGTTACTCTAAAGTGCACTTCTCATTCTAGAGGATCTAAATTTTGTATGGAGTACAACTATAATGGTAGAGAAGTAATTTAGAGGCCTAGAAATCCTAAGAGAGATAAAGAGAAATATCATATGATTGTTTCTAATCAAATTCAAACCATGAGTAGTTGTCTTTGAGCTTCAATCCTCAAATCTTCCTTCATCTTTCTAATGAAGTCATCAAATTTTTTGTTCAACTCCTCAGTGCTTAACACCCAATTTGGTTCTTCTTCTAAAACCTCTTCCTCTTCAACACTTTCTCCAATCAGAAACTCACCAATTTCTGACTCATTGTCTTCATCTCCAGCACCAGTTTCTGCATTTGCCTCCTCATCTTCTTTCAAAGCTGATTCACTATTCCTTTTACCTTTTTCTTCACCTTCCAAAACTATGTTTCCAATGTTTTGTTCGCCATCTTCAGCAGAGTACTTGATTTCTATGGCATGTTCTACTTCTATTTTCTGTACTCCAGGCTCATGATGAGTTTTCTCCACCAAGATTATTGGCTCATTAGCCTCGACATCTGAGTATGGAGATTGGGATCCACCTTCTGCATACTTAGAAGATTCACTTTCAGCAACACTGCTAGGCCCAGATAAAGATCTTGTTATGCCAACAAACACAAGGAGACCATTGCAGAGTAGAAACATGCAGTTCTTGTCTATGGTGTGAGTAAATAGCTGCAAAGAAAATGTAGAGAAGTAGAGGTTGAAGTGGTAGAGGAAAGCAAGCAAGGAAGATGGAGAAATGAAGAAAGAAAACACAGACAATGAGACTAACAATTGGATAAACTTGATTAGGTAGTTATGAGGTTTTGTGCTTTGAATCCAAGATTCTATTTTGAGGGACTTGACTTGATCCATACCTTCCAATTTGCCGAAGAATGGAAGTGGAACTAATGAGAGTTTGTGGTTGTTATGAGAAGGGAATGTTGGTGTCTTGAGGCCATGAAGGGATCTCTTATATAATGCTTTGAACTAGGGAATAGGTACATCAAATGTAGTATTTTTTTATTTTATTTCCTAAAATACCCATGGTTGGCAAATTATTATAAAGCAGATGGCATAAATTGGATGTTTTCCCAACTCCCAAACTTACCTGCTATTCAGGGTTTTTGAAATAAATGATGACAGGGACATGGCTAATTTTGAAGTTTTTATTTGTCTCATAAATCGGCAAATGGTTATTCATGGTCACTAGTTTTGAGTTTGACATGTCAATTTGGGGGGTTGAGGACAAAATTGAAGTGGCTATGGCTTTGAAGAGGAAACAGACAAAGAAACTAAATGAAACCACCTTCTAAGATAGCCCATATAAAGATTAAAACAATTTATATAAACTCATGACAAAATCAAGTCTAAACTTTTAAAATACAGTAAAACTAGCAGTTTTAGTCAAAATATTGACCTGCTAGATCAAACATAGCAGACATAAATGGTATTGACTATTTGTTTGAAGGATCAGGAGTTGCATGTTGCAGGTTGTGAAGAATCTATTAATGGATTTTGCTTAGGAATGAATCCAAGCGACATTGCTAATTTGGTTGGTTTTGTTGTAACAAGAGAGAGCCTTTAGATGTAAGCTACTTGATAATAACAAAACGATATATGGTTACCCTTTTCTGCCAATCTTATCATGATTGTGTTGAGTTTTGGCAGCAACGAAGCTAGTTATCTGTTAACTCACTGTTGTCATCTGTCACAGCAGCAGCATCTAAGCAATGCACACTTTACATCTTGGCAACAACTCAACTGGTGTGCCTCATCATGTTATTTTTCCACCATACCTAACCAAACTTGAGCAAGAAAAGTAGAATACACAGGCTTTCATTTTTTTCTCATCATGTTGTGTTAATTCCTATATTGCTGTGTTCCTAAGTGACTAGCTAAATTCAGCACTATCAAATTTCTTGAGGAAAATCATTTAAGGATAAAACCCCTTAATTAAGACTCATAGATTATATTAGGAATATACTGTTCCCAATAACACGAAAATATATGCCGTAAAACAAACTAGATTGTTTAATGAATTTTTCTTTTGTTACTGCTATGAATTTGATTCTGGTATTTTAATTTCATAGTTATAGTTCACGTACTAGCTATATTCAATTGTTATTAGTTACGAAAAAGTCTAGAATATTTTCTTGAAAATTATATAAAAGTAATATATTTAAAAAAAATCAATTTTATAAATATAAATAAAAACAAAAACATATACAACTAAATTTTAAACAGTTTTTTAATTATAATGTTTTTCTCATTAATAATTTTATTTTTTAAATAAATAAAATTATAAATGAATAGTTAAATAATTAATTTATCTATATTATATCTTTGATGGATTTTATCTAAGAATATAGTGGATGCAAATGATTTTTTTTTCATCCTTATTTATTCCACTGAAAATCAATAAATTCTACTGTATTACTAAAAATGAACTAAATTTGAATAATTTCATATTTTTATATCTAAAATGTAACAGAAACTCTTGTATAAAACCAAACAATCTAGTTTGTTTTAGCTTCTAACTAAGTTAAGACCAAACTTGGCTCTGAAGGAAAAACTTTCTCTTCTCATCCAAAGCTGATCCAGAGATTCTGGCTACCACTAAACCATAAAAAATTAATATATAATTGATTAAATGATTGCTATTTTTAAATATATTTAATGTAATAAGATGATAAAATTATTAGACATCTTATATTTATATATTATTATATTTATAAATTTTTATTCTCAAAGATAAAAATATATTAAATCTTGAATAAATATTTTTTTTTAAGAAAACAAGAAAAATCAAAGTCTGTGAAAAAACCAGTCAGATTTTGTAGCATGATTAATTATCAGAAAAAAAACTGCAAAATATTTTACTGATTATCCAACCAAAGCAGTTTAAACTGGATTGCCCTGGCGACTATAATAAACCGGTCGAAACGGTGAAGCCTAGACCGAAACGAACAAAACCGTTGCTCCGATCACCCACTGATTTGGGGGTTGGGCTCTGCTAAACTCTTCCATTTCGCATCAACATCAATAGCCATCGACGCTTCTTCTGTACCGATTCGGCTTCGACTCCGGCTCAAACCGAGCCATTTCCCGTGCGGCCGAGCCGATGGAGCTTCCTCAAGTGCGCCGCCGTCGCCGTCTCTCTAACCGGATCCCCCGTTGCTGCCGGTCACGCCACCCTCGGTTTGATTTTCCTTACTTTGTCCCCCTTCTTAGTAACTTCTGCATAGCCGTTTTGTGATCACTCGCCCTTCTTAGAGTTTTGATACGGAAATGTTTAAGCATGCATTTATATGAGAAAAAAAAAAGATAAGATAATTTGAAGTTCTGTCCAGAGCTAAAATAAACTTCTACAAATTTAAGTGCATAAGTTTATTTTTCCTTCTTAATTTCTTTATAGGAATTTATAAAGAATTCTTTATAAGAATTTTGTAGAAAAGAAAATTTAATTTAGAATGATTAGCCATTGTATATTGTTTTGGTTTGTTAGATTTCATTTCAAGCTTCCAGTTCTATATTGAATTAGGAAACTATCCTTAGTGGTGTGGATGATTGTAACAAGTTAAAACCTGTTGTTAGACTAGAATCTCTCATCTTCAGTGTCTGAACATTATTTGGTTTTCTATCCTTGTTGACATGATATGTTGCAATTGCTTCTTGAACTTCTATTTTGGTAGGTCCCAACGGTGACATGTTAGTCTATATTTTATGCAGAAATTTCAAGTTTTGTTACCCGAAAGCAATGACAAGTTGATTCCTTGAGCTATTCTATGATCACCTGTAGTCTTGTATTGGGTTTTTCTGCTCATTAAATGAATGATTAGTCCTCTTGTCTCCCCGTAATCCTTTTCACTTTCTTTGGAGTGTTGTTAGACGAAGGGATATATGAATTGGTCATTTGGATGCCTTCTTTATTTATTATTTGTATTTTGGTGGGAAATGACCCTGATCATGGATAAGTAATTTTTTTTTATTCCTCTGCTATAGTTCTATAAAGACACAATACAATGCTGGGGTTCCACCAAGGAAATTGCAATTGTGTTTATTTATAGAAAAATTAACCAGCTCAAAATCGTAACTTCGCAAGTATGAGATATGTGTGATTTCCAGTTTTTGTGTTGGAGGTAAGGAAGTCATTTTAGACTACGTTGAAGAGAAGTAGAGGCTCTAGCTCCGGTAAGAACAAAGATAAAGAGTAGATAAAATGAAAAATAGTGATTAAACGAGGAAGATCTAAGAAAACATTTGGTAAAAAAATAAAAGGACTTCCTCATAATACTAAAAGAAGAATCAAAACACAAATTAATCAAAATAAAAGAAGATTATCAAACCTGATTATACAACCTTCCTTATCCGTTGTACAACTATACCATAGTTGCCCTTTTCCTTTTTTTGTCTCTGCTGCATTCTGTTATAGAATTTGTTGTGTTGTAACTTTTCAATTATTCTTTTAGCGTGTATAGATGTGTGTTGTATGTACCTTTTCTGTTATTCCCTTTTTGTCATCTTTCATTCCTTTAGGGTGCACAGGTTGTATAAATATCCCCCTTTCATTGATCAAATAACATATAGAAAAGAATTATTTTCATTACATTTGTCTCTGAGCCTTCCTTTCTCTATCTTTGTGTTTTTCTTTTATGGTATCAGAGATCCTCATTGGAGCTCTGCTTATTCCTCTGTCAAAATGTCCGATGCCACACCAACACCTGACCCTTGTCTTGATCCTTCCAATCCATACCATATACACCATAGTGAAAACCCAAATTCTGTCTTTGTCACTCCAGTCCTAAATGGTAGCAATTACCACTCTTGGTCCCGTTCCATATGAATGGCCCTATTCTCCAAAAACAATATGGATTTCTTGAACGGAACTATACATGTACCAGCTCCCACTGATCGTGTTTATCTCTCTTGGGAGTGTTGCAACACTTTCATTATCTCGTGGCTGCTAAATTCGTTGTCACCGTCCATTACTCAGAGTGTCATTTTCCTTGACTGTGCTGTAGATATCTAGACAGACCTTAAAGAAAGGTTCTCTCAGAGTGTTCTACTCCGAATAGTAGAGCTCCAAGAGGACATTTACGATCTCCGGTGTTAGAATTATTATTAGGTAGTGGTTAGTGGTTAGTAGTTAGTAGTTAATGGTTGGTAGTTGTTGTTTTAAATGCTGTAATCCTATATATATGAGATCATAGAGTGGAGAATGACATCCCATTGAATTATAAATTTCTTTTTAACTCTTTTTACTCTCTTAACTTGGTATCAGAGCAGGTTGGTCCTGCTCTGCCTTTCTGGTCATCGTCCGGCCACTGTCCGACCACTTTTCCGGCCACCATCCGGTCACTTTCCTGTCACTTTTCGGCAACTTTCCGGCAACCGTTAGCCCCCCGTCCACTCACTTTTTTGCTGCCGTTTGACGACTTTCCAACCACCTTCCAGTAGGGATGACAATTAAACCCGTACCCGTGGGGACTGACCCGTCCCCGCCCCGAGTTTGACGGGGAAAACCCGAGTTGACCGGGGGTAGGGGCGGGTTCAGGTTTTCCCCGCTTTAAAAAGTCGGGGGTGGGGGCGGGGATGGGTAATGTAATCCCAACCCGACCCCGTCCCCGTCCCTGTCCCGACTTTATATTTAAATTTAAATTTTAAAATATTAATATTTTTAAAGTATTTCCTTTTCTTTTTCTATTACATATAAGGTCATTTTTTTATATTTCACCATTTTTTTCCTTCTATCCACTTTTTAATTTTTTTGTCTTTTTTAATCTTTTATATCAATTAATTTATTACATTATTTTTCTCTTACCTTTCAGTTTTTCACATTTCCTTAATCTCTCCTATCAATTTGTTTTTTTTTTCAATCTTTTTAACCAATTTGATGAACACAAAGTTATTTTTTTTTAATTTTTATCTTTTGCTAAATATTTTACATAAATCTTAGTAGTAACTAATATTATTTTATTTATAATTTATATTTATTAGGTTTTATTATGTCATATTTTTTTATCTTATTATTCTTATTTATCATATATCAAATTTTATCTTAATAAAATAATTGTATTTTAAAGGATTAAAGGAATTGATAATTTAAACTTTTATTACTTCGAACTAATTGAATAAGAATTAACTTATTAAATATTTCCTTATAAACTATATATTTCATATTTTTAAATGACAACTTAAAAATGAACTAACTTATATATATAATCAAATGTTTGAATACAATATTATAATAATACTGTTATAAATATTCAAATATTTGAATACGATGTTATAATAATAATGTTATAAATAAAAAATGATTAAATATTTCTTTTACATATATATTTTAATATAAATATAATAAATTAAAATGTATATTTAATTAATAATAATTATAAATTATAAATATTTATTTATATATAAAAAATAGATAGTAAAATTAATTTATTATAAATGTAATTATCTTTTTAAAAATAATATAGATCGGGGCGGGGGCGGGGAACCGAAACCCGGCGGGGATGGAGATGGGGACTCAATTTCTAACCCCGGCGGGAATCGGGGACGGGGATGGTTAAAAAAGTCGGGGACGGGGATCGGGGAGGCAAAACCCGCCCCCGCCCCGCCCTGTTGCCATGCCTACCTTCTAGTGACCTTCCGGCCTCCGTTCTGCTACAGTTGTCTGCTGTTGCCATTCATCAGTTTTCTTGCAAAGTGAAAATTGATACTTCCCTTTCTATCTAATTCTATATTGGGTGTTCTCCTTATAGGTTCCATTATCTCCATCTTACATTTACACTATTTAAAACATGTCGTCAAGGCCCACAACCTCCTTTTCCGGAACTCCCACTATAACGGCTGAGAAATTAAATGGAAAAAATTACATGTCTTGGTTTTCTTCAGTGAAACTTTGGTTCCTTAGACAAGAGTTTCACGATCATCTAGAAGAAGACGGAAGTAAGATACCAGAAGATCAGGCTCAACAATGGAAAAAGCTTGATTATCAACTTTATGCTCTATTGTGGCAATCAACTAGAGTCATCAAATATGTCTTCTTGGGATATTCTCGTCTTCGAAAAGGATATCGATGTTATTCTCCTAAAACCAAGAGGTACTACATGTATGCTAATGTCACTTTTTTTGAATCAACTCCCTTCTTTCCTTCTTCTATGCAGGATATTAGGACACCTCTCCGGAAACTGTCTCAATGTTCTTCATACTAATTTTCCTTTTATTTCTAAGCATGTTGAAGAGAATTGTGATGTCTGTCACTTAGCTAAGTAAAAAAGGTTGTCATATTCTCCCAGTTCTAACAGAGCTTCCAAAGTTTTCGATTTAATCCATTTAAACATTTGGGGTCCTTTTTCTCAATCCTCAATTCATGGTCACAAATATGCCTTAACTATTGTGGATGATTTTAGCCGTTACACATGGGTTGTGCTCCTAAAATCTAAAGCTAAAGTTAAAACAAATGTTCAAAATTTTATTATCTTAATTGAAAATCAATTTAACATAACCATTAAATGTGTTCGGTCTGATAATGGTCTGGAATTCTATCAACATGATTTTTTCTCTTCCAAAGGAATTCTTCATCAAACTAGTCGTGTATATACACCCCAACAAAATGGGCGCGTTAAAAGAAAACACCAACACATCCTAAATGTAGCTAGAGCCCTTATGTTTCAATCTCAACTTCCAAAATCTTATTGGTCATATGCCATAAAACATGTTATTTACCTTATAAATCACATTTCATCCCCTGTTATTAATAATCAAACCCCTTTCATATTGTTACATAAACAAAATCCAAATTTTTCCATGTTAAAAGTTTTTGGTTGTTTATGCTATGCATCAACACATCCTCCTCGCACAAAATTTGATGCACGTACTAGACGTGGTGTTTTTTTTGGGATTTCAAACTAGAACAAAGGGGTATGTTATTTCAGATTTAAATAATAGGGAAATTTTTGTTTCTCGAAATGTTTTGTTCAACGAGTTGGTGTTTCCTTTTATAAAATTAAACCATCAGCCTACTCACCAAAGCCCACTATAGCCCAACAACTCTCCTGCTCCTGCCATTAATTTCTTTTATTACACCACTCCCACCATTCAACCCAAAACCGAATCCTCACACCCTTCTGACAATGTTCCTCTTCCTCTCACCCTGTCACCCCTTTCCTCCCCAAGCTTTCGTATGCCTTCATCTAACAACACCCCAAGCCCGTCAACCTCATCCCCACCTCTGACAC